TCCAGTGTCCAGATGGTGTCATTGCAATAGGCGATATGACTAACGGTTGATCGCCATTGACTTGCATCGATTGTTCGCAGACCTCTGGCTGCAACTGTTGCTCATCTGAAAGAAAGTTTTGTTCGAATTATCGTTTTTCATTTTTATTTTTCGAACCTGAAGAATCGCTGTTCGAGTCCTGATAGGGATGCAAGTTTTACGCCCTACTGATGAGTTCCGAAGAATACGAGACAGCTTTCCAGTGGTCTTTGTTGGTTATCACAAAGATTTTCATCGCATTTAGATCTTCGTGTACATCAGATTTGTTTTCAAATCGAGTCCGTCAATCTGTACGTTGAAAAATGACACATCCGATTATTCCTTGATCTCGTGCAGCAGCTTGTTAGTTATTACTGATGTTTTGTTCCTCACTAACGGAAGTAAATATGATATTTCCCTAGATCTGATATGTATTCACATCTACTCACCGTTTGGCTTCTACTATTTTAAACGAATAGAATACCACGTTTACGAAAATGGTTGCTAGTGCATCGGTTGCAATACAACACGGTTTCAGGAAAAAGAATAATCGAATTGAGTTATAAAAATGGTTCAAAAGCATGATGCAGATATTCTGCTTTCATATCTTTAACACCCTATTTACTCCTCTTCCGTTTTAACCACCATCGCTAATCGATTTTCTGTGGAATCCGTGACGTTGGCTGTCAAAGAGCACTTTTTATTCTCCTCTGGTACATGCCATACCCCCGTCGCTTGTCACCGCTGCTGACGTGTCCGACATATTATTGTATACAATGGGCTCTAAGTCTTCGGCTTGCAGCTTGACATTTGCGATTCTTAGTCTTGGATACCTGATAATAAAGAAGCAGCTAGATTTTGAACACCCACTGAGAAGATCAGCGGTGGTGTCACTGGTCAGGCCATGTGCTGCGAAGTCCTAAAACTGCACTCGCGCTTGAGGCCGCTCCATCTTACCTTGCAAGGTTTTGGTGAATTTTGGCCAACTCGGGACTTTGAATAATAAGACCAGAGTGGGCACGGAATAACCGTGACTCCATTCCGCGTATACTACTTGCAATGAGAACCAAAACTTGCTTTCGCACTGCGTCTATCTTGCCAAAGATTGCTACACCGGGGCTGTCATTATAACAGGTATGCAATACTCGGACTCATCGTCCCGTAGTAGCCAGTCCCATAATGGCAAAATAAAGTGAGTGACATCCGCTAAATCGCAGGAACGAAGGAAGGCCACAAGTGAACGTTCTGTGCCATCGAATCAGCTGGGGATCGAACCCGGGACCTCATGGGCAGAACGCAAGCCGAGTAGGTAGCATGCTTGCATTCTGCCCATGAGGCTCCGGGTTCGATCCCTAGTTGGATCTATGGATTCGCACTGCTGATGAGACCCAACGAGATCGAAACAGCTGTCCAGTGATTCCTAGCTTTTCAGTTCACGCTTCATTTGCTATTTACACGAATTTACCTTTGGAATTTCATTTTATTTTATTGCCGCAGCGAATCGCGAGACAAACAATGCTGCTGCAATCGAAAAGTTATGAACGAAAATTAAGTAGTACCGAAACATCCAATCACTGGTTGTTGAAACTGTTTAATTTTGATCACTCGAAATTCACCGTAGACATGAACTAGTTGGGACTCGGTTGGTTGTATTCGGAGGGGACAGTAAATTCCAGGAATTACAGTTTTGCCTTTTTTATAGAATAAATGCTGTAAAAGATATTCGAGTTCTCCCTGTTCAATTGCGATTTAGTTAAGTGTTATATTTCGCAAATAAAATGTTCGTCTTTCAGCATCGAAATCGCTAAATGCATACGATAACATCTATGCACGTCCATGGAATCTTTCAGTCGTATGTTAGTTTTAACACCACGCAGTGACAAAATGTTATTGCCTGAATGTTTATCCGGATTTCAGCCAGAAATTACCCTTTCTGGTTGACACCTCCGTTCCAACGTCATCTTCATCAAATTCATCTTCAGAATCCTGATCTTCAGCATCCGAAATAGTGCTGTCCTCCGGCTCTTCTGAGAAAATATAAGTGAGGTAATAAATAATGAAGAGAACTATTACTCTTTAATGGATAACCAATAATTATTTCATCTGTGGGTGTTACGAACAAACAAAAGTCATTCTTATCAGAATATGATCGAATTTTACCGACAGTAGTCAAGCCTTGAGAGATCTTTTCAAAAAGTATTGCTTTTTGAGTTGCGACCTATTAAACGTAAATGTAGTGTCGTTTGATAGCGTGTAGTAAAGTATTATGCCGGAAGCATTCACATCCAGGTGCAATAAATGATACGGAGGTCAACGTGAAATCTTGAACAAAGGAAGCAAATAAAAACACGGTAAGCAAAGTTCTTTTAGTTTTCTGCCGACTTTCATTCAGGTATGCATCAAGCTAGATATGAACAATCACAAAACAATTAGGAAATCCGATTGACGTTGATGACACGTTCGTGCGTGTTTTCGCGTGAAGCCAAACCAAGTCAAGTTTTATTCACTTTTGCAGTTGGTCAATAAACCCGAAGCAAGCCTCATGTTATTTGGTATACAAAACTACGGAAGGGATATACCGTCCATGAAAATGAGAGGTGATAGAAATAATAGAAGACGGAATAGAAGAACATAAATCGATATAACTACCATTCGGACAATGGTGCCATAGTTTGCTGGAGGCTACGAGAATCCCCAATGCATACGCCTTGGTTGCGTCCAGCGCACTTCACATCGCATATACCTTTTTTTAGAAGGGAAATGGAGTATATTCTCTTATCACCGACCAGAAGTACTGGTGGAACCCTGTTTTAGAATTGCAAAACTATCAAATGAACTGAGTGAACTATAAGCTGATTTTGAGAAAAGTGCTGTGTTTTAATTGGAACGTTAAGAACAAAGTTCACCCCAATGAACTATATCGTGAATTTTAGAATCAATGAATAACTTTTCGATTGGTCGCTCTTTATTCCAAATTAACCTAGAAACCGTAGGAACGTATCTTTCGAGCTACGCAAACTCGGACAGCTACAATCCCCATAGAAAATTTTGTCTGAATTAATTTTTCAGTAAGTTCTTTCGACTGTGTTCTACTATTTTCTGCTTCATCCCCCGGTTGGTAACCAAAACACGCCAGGAATTCCTCGCTGAATTCCTAAAACATGAGCTGAAAAATCGATTGGGTTTTTCTGGTCAATATCGGTACGTCCTGGTTACACACTGATAAGCCCAACTCTTTTCATGGAAACGGCCTGTTATGAAAATAATGAACGAGATATTGAATATGCGGCGCTTATGCGCTCTACGGTGACCGAACCTCGATTCTTGAGATTCTGGAATATAGTTCGCTGTATGTATAAATGAGCACTGCTAGTGTGGTTTAACCAACTGACATTTACCCCATGCACAATGAGCTTCTTCACAAAACAATCGCAAGGGTGTCGTTCATAAAAAGAAAATAGTTGGGCATGTTTAAAATATAAATTGTAACCTGTAAATGTTTTCGGTTATTAGCTAAAGTTTTCCGTTTTAGAATCTATGAACAACAAATAATCATGGTAGCTTTGTAATGTTCTAGTACAAACTGGTCAATCGGTGTTTAATTGTGTGTTGCGCTTTAAAATTCTCTTCAGTTTGCATACAAACCATAAACGTGCAGTTTATGATGTTGCCACTTTGGTTGTATATGCTAGTGAAACCTTCATTGAATTCACGTTTTCACCTAACCCCGTGGAATGATTATCTTTTCCCTCAGTGTTTGCCCGTTTTATTTTTGCGTATTCACGTTTTATCCTCATACAAATGCATATATTTTGGTAAACCAATACTTCTAAAGCGCTTGAGTGCCATTCGAGAAAGCACAAAGGAGTGATTCTTTCAACATTATTGGGCTACACCTTGTTTCCCGAACCCATTTTGAAATACATTGGTGACGCATTATGATCTGCCAGTTCCCTTCTGTGCTTGGAAACGTCCAAGCTTTTTTTCAAATATTTGTACGAAACCAGCCGCATTTACCTACGTCATAGCATTGATTACAAATATTGTAAAAGTTAGAACAGATAATTGAATCCAGCTTGGTATAGCCAATTGAAGATGCGTAGCTCAATAAGCAATCAGGACCGGATACTTTTAGAAGCAACGACTGAATTCAACAGGTTGCTCTCTCATCAATCAAGGTTGTCGATCAATCGTAGGTCATCACTTCTGGGTTTGAAATGTGAAGAATATTGAAATATTAGACTTTGATGAGAGCGAAGGCAGCCTGCTTTGCACAGTGGCAACAGACTCGCCTTCCTCACGAGGCATCTGCGGTTCAACTCCTAGTCACACTAACGGAGTTATACCGATGTTGCTATCAGATGCGTGTAAACCTGGAATCTGATGACTAGAGCGGAAATTTAACTGAATGACCTAAAATGTGTACGTTGAAAAAGTGGATGGACATTAAAAAGAAGCAAATTTGGAAGCAAATGGATCGACTAGCTAACAAATCGCACTCCGAGGTCGAAGAATAACATACATCTTGGGAGCTCAACGCAACTTAAACGTCTTGTTGATTATAGTGACAAATAGACAATAACATTGGTGCAATATAACTTAAGGTCACCGGAATGCTAAGGAATTCCTGAATTATGATTATTCACCGGCTAAAATCCAGACATAACCTCGATATTCGTTTCGTGTATGCCTTGCAAACTAATGCTTACCATTATGATTGTCGCCACCAACACGCTATCAGCTGGATCCCTCATCATTGTCATCACCACACATTGCGTCTTCTGCCTCCTCATTATCCAACTAGTTCCTTTTATTTACACGTGAATATGGTGATCCCAAAGTCATAAACGTTTTTATTCCTCTCAACGTTTTTCCCCGAAATTCGCAATGGATTGCTTAGAAATTTATCCTCGATCATTTTTATATTTGAATTTTAGCTACGTCAACAGTAATATTCGTGGAACTCAAAATACTTTGATATTTTTGAGGACGCATCGCAAGCGTTTGATTGTTAATCGAATACGACTGTTTATGGTTCATTTTCCTGGTATTTAGACTCTTTACAGTTTCTTTAATTGAAGAAGACAGTTGTAGAACTTGGAGGATTTATGGTGATGAAGAGTGGTGTGAACAAAACGTCTCGGAAATTGTTTCAGTCCAGTGCACACAATTTTTCTATGTCACATCATAACAACTAGTCGCTTGTATTGTAGAAATGGTCATATATTACATTCTCAGGTAGTTTGTAGCCCTTCCAGCTTCAATGCCTATGAGAGTAGATGCAGGTTTAGAGAAAGCATAATCTACCAAATGAGATAATTCTAACCTGTAGTAGTTGGCTCGCAGTCTTGTGTTAGTGTCGTATCATCTGCAATAATGATTAACCAAGANTAACCAAGAAAACACCCGCAAAAGATCAGAATGAAACTAATGAGAAATTAATGGACAACCTTTTAATGCATAAATCGAATTCAAAAATGGTACAATATTCTACTACTCACAAGCAAAGCGGAACCAAATAAAGAGTTCTATAATTTGTGATTAACAACTTTTTCTGCTAAAATGACTCAAACCCTCAATCAAATGAGGATATCCCAATAAATTCACCTTCTTGAACTGTGAAAATGTGCAGCAGTGAAGCTCATTGTTTAAATACTCCTGCTGGAAGTTTCCAGGTACACTTGATTTATCAATCATATGCTTTGGAGGGCAAAAGTCACAATCAACAACCTAAATCGTGTGCTTCGCCATTGACGAAAGCCAAATTTTTATTCAATTAAAGTGATTTCATTCCTGATCATGAACCTGTTTTCTCTATGAGATCGATTTTATTTTTAAGTTTTTGAAATTTTACTTCCTTTTATGGAATACACAATGATACAATTTTCAGCGATGGGGAAGCGGCTAATCAAAGGGCTCCCATGGGGGAAGTCAGGCCATGGTGGTTGGGTTCGAACACACGTTCCCGGAGGTAGTAATTTGGTGATGCTATCACCGAACCACCAAGGATTTACTGCAAATGAAACAAAACTTCATCGCGTCTTCTAGATTATTGTCGAAATTCCTCACAAAAGTGATTACTGGTAGATAATTTCAAAATGGCGCGCTCATATTATTAGTATCGTTGCAAGTTAGCAATGAAAGCCACAAAACAAAACAGCCTAAATTTCCCGTTAACACATCATTACGGAACTCGCTTCAAGTATGGGTGGAAAACCAACATCTCATGCACTAAAGCAGCACTTGCCTGTAAGCGTCGGTGCTAAAATAGTCAGAAAACAAAGCGGTTTTAGAACTTGTCTGGTGAAAAGCAAAGGAGAAAAGTGAGCTCACTGCAGTTCATTGTCCGGCGTTCGACAGAACTAGCGCTACGTTTGTTCATAGAGTGCATTTAGTATTGCACAGAGCAAGTTAGGCGTGCAACTAAAGCCAAAGAATAGGGGCAGCTTTTCGGCATCGTTGAGTCTCGTTATCAGGATGAATCTTCATTTTCTCTACTCAACCGTCCTTGAGGAGTCAAATGATAACCTTCACTACTCTCATGATATTTGTTTGTTGTCAAGACGGCTATGAAATACATCACTGGCACAAATTATTCTATCAATCTATTCGAGCAAATTTACTGCTGTTGTTATTCGGATGCAAAATATTTCTCCCCAATGTAAGTATCTGCATTTGTAGTAAAAGCAATCATAGAAATCATTGTTAGTAGGAGATCATATGTGAAAATCACTCAAAAAGAAAATGTTTAGCAGGTCAATGCAATGCACAAAAACTGATTGTTGTTATACAAAGACATCAATTTCTGCATACGGTAATAGATAAATGTTGATTTACTCAATTGTTGTAATAAATTCACAAAAGTTACATTCCTGAGTTTTTAATATTAAATAATTGATTTCAATAATGCAATTTGTTGCTTACTGTGCGTTGTGAAGTAATACAATTTGTTTTCCTTTTTATATTTATCAGCAAAATTATTCAACTTCGCAGTAATCATTCTGTTCACTGGAAGTGGTATCTCCGT